GCTTCCTTCTTTAATATTTCCAGGTGGTTCTCGACTCCACATTGATTTTTCTCACACTGTTCCCTGTATCAGCTATCTGAAGCTAAATTTCTCTCTTTCTCCCTGCCTTTCTCCTTCTCTTCTCTCTGCATCTCTCTGCTTTCCTGCATGCCTCGGTGACTGTGCAGCTCCACCCCACCTCACCCTGTGCACACTCTCTTTCTCTCGCTTCTCCCGTGCATCCCTCTGGATCTTAGAGATGAGTAGCTCTCTTGGCAGATTCACAGATGTCAAATAATATATTTGGGCTTTAAACTCAGAGATTAATTGCCTGGTGTCTACCTTGGTACTATGTTGATTTTATTCATCTTTGGCATCCCTGCCTGCTGCTTTCTTACCCTGCAGGTCTGAAGTGGTCACCTTAACATGCATATCTTTTATAAAGCACTGTGCAGACATATTCTCTGCAATGGCCTACTTATTTTCTTGGAGGGAATTAGCAGGCTTGAGGGGTAGGAAGAAAGGGGGTCATGAGGTTGACTTTCCATGTCTCAGGCTTCAGGCAGCCATCTCACATTATCCCCTCAGCCAAGAGGATTCCTAACCTCCGTGTGTGTGCGTGTGTGGGGGTTGTGACACTGCCCTTCAGCTGTATTGTTCATCTTGTAGCTTTTATTAATTCACTGAAATCCCCAAGAACTGTGTTGGGGTTTTGTAGCAGTCTGATGAACATGAGGCTTAGCTGCTTGTTGTTTTATTTGCCTAATCTACCCACAATTACCAAAAAGCCATGTTAAAAAATTATGTGCAATAAATATTGAGCAGGTAGGACCTGTGGGTATATGCCAGCTTGAGATAGCTCATATTAAAAATGCATAGAAACATATACTTACAGATAAAAGGTATTTACATATGACTCCACATCCATTTTGTTGAAGTTTTAAGAAGGTTGTGGTTTTTAAAATGCATTTGGATGTCTTTTTCTACCTGAAGAAAAACGTTTGCTTTTTATATGATAAACAGCAGTGGAAATGTTCACAGGACAATGGAAAAGCCCCAAAGGAAGTAAAGACAGTTTGCTGGGAACTACCTGATGTGAGCTACTTTCCTTTGTTCTGTGGGCATGATATTTTTTGCTTGTTACCTGGAGCTGCAGAGTGCCAGATCTTGGACTTTGTGCATTCTGGTCCAGAGTCCCAAGGTCAGGAAGAGGTTCTTGTCCAACTGTCCTCCTGTCACTGCCAGCTCTCTGCTGAAGGCAGGCTAAAATGCAAATACCCTCACTTTTAACATTTAGCTGTGCCACTGAGTGCCTCCCTGCACAGTACTCTCTGCTCACCTGTGGAATCCCGTGACTTTCCTCTGGCATCAAGAAAAGTGTGAACTGATTTTTTTTTCAGTCTGAGACTCAGCTCTCCCAGCCGCCAGGATAGCCATGGGACCTCGCTGCACAGAGCTTGAGATAGGAAAGCTGCCTGTGTGCAGCCTCCTGTTTGCTCACAGAGAGGCACACACAAGGCAGGAACACAGTAAATTGTTCAAAATGCTGACTTTGCAAAGGAGAGGGAAATTATTTTACCAATTAAATATTCACTATGCTCTTGTATATGACAGCAGTAGGTTTATAAATACATGGATGTTTTGCTGTCTGGTAGGAGGTTCCATGGAGGGAACCATGCTCTTCCTTGTGAATGTGATGATCTGACATCTGCATGCACTCAGAGGTCAGCATGTTTGCAACATTGTCTGCAGAAAAAATTTGCTTTAAAAGTTTAAAAAAATTACTTTAAAGTTAAAAGTAATGAAGTACAACAACACATTTTGTTTTAATCTGTCTTTAAAACCAAAACAACCAGGTCATTAACAGTGCTGTAGGTTTACTTTGTAAAGCTGTAAATGTTTTACCCAGAATACTTGCACTCTCAGGACAACTGAGGCAGATGTGGTTGACCTGGCATAGTAAAAAGTCTTCTCTCTTCATGTTGTATGTGTAGCTTTTAAATATTTTTCCTTAGCATGTGAGACTGCCTTTTTGAATTAATTCCTTTTGTATCTCACACAGCTGCCTAACTCCTTGCAGGCACACACACTCCCAGCCCTCCCCCAGACATCTGTTCTTGTTCTCAGTGCCAGGTGCCAGAGTTTAAGCTTGTTGGGAGGAGGGACAGTGACAAAATCCTTCATAAAATCAAATAGCTGTCGTTTTTTTAACAATATTTGTGGTGGAATTTAATTTCTAATCTCTGGGTTTTTGAAAAGCACCCAGAAGGTGTTAGCCTTTACTACTGATTTTTTTTCAGGTTTTATCTGGAAAAGGTCAGGCTTGGGTGGAGATTGGTTTGTTGTTGGGGTAAAGATTTTCCTCCTTTTTTTTTTTTTTTTTTTTTTCCCAAAGTGATACTGTAGCATGCCAGTAGTAAGAGGCCACAGCAACTGTGAACCTGTTTCTAGTCTGGAATTATTTTTCCCAAATGGGAATACATCTCATTAGAAACACAACTGTACCTTCATCACTGAATTTTGATCCACAGAGGTCTTACATACCTTGCTTCTACTTGAAACACAGCTGTTCCTGAAATCTTCCAAGCATGCCCTAAAGCTGATGTTTATGTACCAAAGTGCTCCTGTTTGGCATTTTGGGTTTGGTTGGGTTAACTTTGACAGATCAAAAAATACTGGGCTGTCAGAGCCAGGACATTTCCCTCATCAAGGAGCAGGTGAGCAGCATGAGACCATTCCCTTTCTCAGCCTGGGAGCAACTGCAGTCATCTCCTCTGCTCCATGCTCTGAACTTCTCAAAAAGGGCTGTCATGGTCATCCAGTTGCAGGTTTTCCCCTGAGTCCTGGTCTTATCTTAAACAAATAGAGTACAGCTGATACCCTCCTCTGCCATTCCCTGAGATCTACCTTGGAATGTTTTCCTGTCATCTTCTTGCACTCGTGGTGCATCAGAGACATGGCCAGGCTGCTTCTGTTTTCTGCCTTCTCACCCAGGCACCTGGCTTCTTGTCTCCCTTTCTTCAGTGAGATAGGGAATATGTAGTGTAAGTGATAAGCCTAGAAATGTGAAATAAATGGATTTATATCAGCGGCTGTGGTCTGGGTGGTGGAGGATGTGGTACTAAATACCCTGAGTTCATGCTGGGTTAGGGGAAATCAGGAAAGTGGAATGAGGAGTTTAAGCTGCTCTTTCTCACTCTTTCTTTTCATCTCTCCTTAGGCATGTCTGCCACTTATTCTTGCAGTCACTGAAGGCACAGGAACTCTCTGTGGCCCTACTATTCCTGTAGAGGCTTGAGAGAAAACTCTTCCAGTGTATTTCCCAGGGGCAAAAACATCAGGAGTGGCTTGGCCACTCACAGCCCCTGGCTGAAATGAGAAGTTTCAGCTTCACAGAAATGATTTGGTGTGATAGTCTTCAGATAACACACAAAGGGCAAAATGTGTAACAAGGGGAAATATCAGTGAGCAAATTTAAGCCACATAGAGTGGAGAACGTTTTTCCATACTAATATTAAATGTGCAACACCCCCACTTTTGGAGACCAGATGTATGGATTTAAGAAGGCACTAAACAAATTCATGGATCTGTCCACCAATGGCTATGGGAAATGCAGGTCTGGATGCAGTCTCCCAGGGTGCCGTGAATCACTGATTGCTGGCAGCTCAGCAAGTCCATCAGCTTTTCTTGGGCTCTTTCTTTAAGAATTGCTGTTGATGTCTCTCACACATAACATGTTCAGCCAATGTGGGCTTCACTTTGATCTAGCAAAGCGCTTAGTGACTCTTAGGATAGAGCTGAATCAAATGGTGAAACAGCCTCACGATACTTCCTCCAGAGCTTTTAGGAGAATGATCCCATAGGCCCTTCCAATTGTTTAGTCCCGTGCCTGAGCAATCTCTGCAAGGGGAGAGCAGCCTGCCACTCCAAAACACAAAATGGGTGTCCCTAGGAGTGCTCAATAGCCAGTGCCCTATTTATATATAGTGCAAGGTAAATATTTGGGAAGCCCGAAGATGCAAAGCTAATAGGGTTGTTACAGAGGATGGGTAACAAAAAAGGGATGGTTACTGAGAGACATAATATCTAAGGGTTTTATGCTTTATAAAATAAGCCTGAAAAGGACAAAACTAAATAAGGAGTCACTAAGCCTTTTCTACTACAGAATTTGTCTGCCCTTGGTAATATTCCTTCCTGCCCGCATTTTTGTTTGTGCTGATAAATGTCCTTGCATTAATAAACTCATAATGCAGCTTGTTTATCCCTTCAAAGCCAGCCCTCGCAGCTTTCATTAGCATTTTAGGATATTTATGGCTTTGTAAATGACTGGAAATCTGCAATTTGTCATTAGGAATTAAGAAAAATCTTCCTTCCACTTAGGGCTGAAGCTCAGCTTTGGCCTTTGAGGGACTGAGCCACCTCTGGGCCTCATAGACAAAAACAAAGTCAGACAGTGCCCAGATTTACAACAGCAAGTGGCTCTTAGTTATTCAGATGTCTTTGATAATGTGTCATCCGCTGTTGCTGGCAGGGATCAGTGTTTAGGCTCAGAATTAATATCTCTCTAGCTAGAGAGAAAACAAAAATATCTCTTCTGCAAGAGCAAAAAGAGAAAGATGTAGTAACAAAGAGAGAAATAAAAACAGCACCAGGCACATGTAAAAAAATGCATGTGTAGATATATGTATGTAGCATATACACACCGCAGAGGTTAACAAAGTGCTCTTCAGAAGAAAACGTTGTACTTTACTCTGCTGTGCTGTGTACTTTCAACTTTGAAATACAGGAAGTTAAGAAAATTTTAAAGGTTTCAAAAGGGAGTTTTTCTTGTAATTGGTAAAGGGCTAAATAGTTGGATGGGGAGGGGTAATAATCAAAGGAGCCTTTTCAGCACTAAACTGTAGTCCAGAAAATCAAAGGAAGGAATGTTAATTGGTTTGTACAACATGATATTCTCAGCTCAGAGTAGCTTCAGCCACTCAATGGTACTTTTTCTTTTTTTTCTTTCTCTCTCTCTGTAGGTTGATTGAGTGAATAGAAGAAAAAAAAAAAAAAAAAAAAAAAACGAAGCTACTTTCAAGTATTGAAGATACAAAGCCAGGATGAACACGAAGGACGGAAAAGTGTCTGAAGGAGGTCTCAATGTCACTCTTACCATACGCCTTCTCATGCATGGCAAGGTGAAGCATTTCCTGTTGCCTGTGTGTTGAGTGTGTGTGCAGCTACCAGCAGAGCCTGGCACTAACGTTGACAGAGGGTCTGCTCCTCCTCCACCTTGAGTCAAAAGCACCATTGCCACGGCCAAAAAATCACACCCTGCTTTTCAGGGAATCCTGCTGAAGTTCACGCTGCAGCCCAAGCTCATTGAAACAAACCCTGCCTGTAACGAACCCATTTTGAGCGGATCCGGCAGCAAAAAAAGAGGAATTCTTCCACTGATAGTGAGCCAAATTGGGCAGACCCTTGCAGGAGGCTGACCCGCATACAGCTCGCCTTTCTCAGCGTTTGCTGATTTTTGCAGGGCTTTTTTAGGATACCAGAACATTGACTCGTGTGAAATAATTGCCACAGAGTTGGTGTCTATTTCTATTGAATGCAAATGGGGTCCAGTTCTTCATTATTCTGGTGTTAACATCTCATCAGAGTGAGCCCCCTGATATTCCAGGGGTTTGTCCAGGTCCCGGCGGGTTTGGGTTGGAAGACTGACTCTTGTTTCCTTTCTGTCCAGTGCAGCACTTAAAGCTTGCAGATAAGTGGGAAATCGGTGCCTTAGACAAAGTGCCAGTTCAGTATTGTCAGATTTAACAGTCTGGTTGCTGCTTATTTCACATCGACAGATCATAAATTGGGCTTTTAATTAAAAAACACATTTCATAGGTTTGTTTGTATTATTTGCATCAGGCAACTCCAGGCATTTTTAGGCTTAATGAATGAATGTTATAGAAAGGAGGTGGTTTAGTCTCATCCTTAACAGGGAATAGTGAATATATTATGCTTGTTATTCTGGAGATTGAATTTATATATATAAATCTAAAAAAATTTTTTTACTCCTAGAGTTTAATTTTATAACTAAAATACTTCTACATTTTAAACTAGTGGGTGTTTTCAATCTATGGTATGATAAACCCATAGCACAAATAGGACACTAAGGTATCTCCCATTCTATTTTACTTATGGAAAGTGTGAGGGGGTAGAGTTTAAATTTGCAAATTAAAATCCTCAGAAATTAGGTTATGTCAGATCAAATTATGTTTTTTCTCAGAAATGATCTAACCATTTTGATTTTTTTTTCCCCCTGAAATATTCAGCTTCAGGCAGGCATCTGGTGTGTAAATCTGCATCTTAAATAGGGATCTGTCAAACAAATTTAATAACACTCTCTCTTACAAAACCCACCTAAAATCTGTACACGTGTCTGTGCTCAAAATTAGGTCTTCAGGGTTGATTCTACTGGTTTCTGGTCCCAATCCATGAAAGCATTTGAACACTTACTTATCCCAGTGGGTATAAGCAGCCCTACTAGTTGCAGTCACATTCCCATGTGCTTAAGTGATGGTGTTTTGGGCTTTTTTAATCATTGTCAGACAGCTCTGCTTGTTTCAGAATCATGCCTTTAAAGCAAAAATGAAGTATCTGTCATTTTCAGGACATTTTATTTAAACTGTGGGCTAGGATTATTGGGATTTTTTAAAATCAGAAATGAAATCAGATAAAGTTCATTTTCTCTGTTAAACATAATTGATTTTGTGTGCAACCACTTTTAACAATAATGGATGTTATGTGTCCAGACTTCAATGCATATGTAGCCCCAAGGGTCTAAATTAGACCCACAAAAGCTACAAAGTTCAAATTTTACCTGGATCTATACCATGCGTCCTCAGTTAACAAGGCACGATGGGTATTCTGTTAGCTCCACTATGCTCTAATCATGTATCCTATTGTGCCTAAGTATTGGAAAGAGTACATTAAATCAGAATTTATTTTGGTGATAAAAGTCAGATGCTTTCTGTTTCTTTGATGTAATTTCAGTGATTTAGAAATAATACAGAGGAACGAAGGAGGTCTGAATCAATATGAACTCAATGTGAGAAAGCATTCTGAAAGCTGTATGTGCCTCTGGAAAAGAAGAAACACATTTCTAGACTCTCCTTGAGATTTGTTGTGGTGATGACATCTGTGGAAATTGTTGATCTCTAATTAATATTTCTAGACAAAAGAGTTTGTCTAGAAGCAGAAGTTGGTCTGTAAATAACTGGTCATAAATAACCTGAGAGAGAAGAGGAGAAATAAAAAGGTTTTTAAAATAGCAGGAGCAAACTGGATTCAGTTATTTTTAAAGTTAAATAATTTTAATGTTATTTATTAATGCATTGCATGGGAAAATGAGGACCTCTCCCTACTAACTTTAACTCTGTATTTCTAAACCATTATTACCAGTGTACCTTTGCATAGGAAAGGCCTATGTGCTTTGTGTTGTTTGCATGCATTTTGATTGGAAATCCATAATTTGTGCTACTGTGCTTGCTTATCTTGACTGTAAGTCCTGCAGACTTAGGAAATTTTCAGCGTGTACTTTTCATGTGATTTGTATAGAGGCTTCAAGTCAAGAATGGACATCTTAATGAGGCAATTAAGGTAAATTCTATACCTGCAGAAAAATGAGCATCTATATGAGTGGCCAGACCTCTGCAAGAAGGTAATGAATCAAAAAGCCACCACAACAAACAAATTATGTGGCACAAACAAACAAAAGACATTATCATGAGGTGTGAGGAAAAGAAATAGGAAGAGTCCTGAGCTCTGGGAGAGCCAGGGCCAGTGTCTCCCCAGTGCAGGTAGGACACCACTGATCAGCACCTTTGCTTTATCTTGCTTTGGGGAAGGGAGTGTCTGTGCATCCAGCTGAGCTCCTGCCAGGCTTTTTTGCAGCCTCTGGCTGAAGAGGCTGGGATAGCTCCTGGGAGCACAGACACTCAGCCACAGCATTGCAAGGGTTGAGAAAAGCCAGCTGGCAACAAGGCAAGGCGCAGCCTTGCTATTCTCATGGCAGAAAACATGGTGTTAAAGGGAGGGCAGCAATTTTTTTATCAGTGAAAGTGGAAAAAGAATTTTTGCAGGCCCTGCAAAAAGCCAGCCACTGCAAGGTATGAAAGGTTAACCTCAGGGTAACCTCAGTGTTTCCAGGGCCTGGTATGAAAGGTGTCCTCCTGAGCTGGGACTTTCAGAGATTTTGTGATGATGTAAGATGAAAGGCCTAATTTTCATCTTGTGCCATCTTACATCAGTGAAAAAGTTACAGTGGTGTTACAGCCCTGAAATCATAAGCAACACAAAACATTTGTCACATTTTCTTGTGATGAATTAGAGGGCAGGTGTTGGTGAGGATGCTGCAAGGGCAGTGCTTAGGCATTCCTTGCATCCACAGAGAAGCAAGTTTCAGTGTAGGAAATCTCAAAAGCAAGATTAAGAAAAACTTGTTACGAGGATATGTCAGGAGGGGAGGAGGCTGCCTGGGCGTGCTGCACCATCCATCACTGAAGGTTTCTAAGGACAAGCCACACAATTCATCCTGTAAAGCTGCACTTCACAGGCACTGTGCTCTGCTGCTCAGCACCTTTCTGACCAAGTTACCTGAATGCTGCTCCAGAGGGGTCAGAAACAGAAGAGTCTTTTAAAGGACATGCAGCTAGAAATATAGAATATGTTAAATAATGCAGATACTCATTTTCATCCTTTATTAATGAGAAAGATGCACCACATTAAGAAATAAAGCTGTTTCATACATTTCAGTAGAGAAAAACAGAGAATATGAGTTGAGGCTGTTTACAGTGCCCTACTTTTGTGTTTTCCTTCTGATTCTTGCTGTTTCTTGAAGTAAAATAAGTAAAATCACTGTGTAGGAAAGAGACGTGAATGAATATGGATATTTTATTATCTTTGTCTACTTCAAAACTATAATTTATGGGCAAGACTGGAGTATTGTAGGGATTGCAAGATTTCTGCTTCCAGCAAAGACAAGAATAGCAATATTTGCCCAGACCACATCAGTGGTTTCGAAGGGCATAAGGGAGACGAATGTAGTGTGTGTGCATTCAGAGGCAAACAGCCCCCAGCCATCAGAGCCTTCTGTATGGAGAGGCTTCTGTATGGAGCTCAGGCCCCAAAAGAATTGTATCTTTTACTTTTTCTTCCTTTCTAAATTTTTGTCAAGATAAAAATTATTTCGCCTCTTTGCATGTCATATGATATAGGTGTAGACCTCCATGTTTCTTACCATTCCTTGCTCACCTTTTGCTGAATATTCTATTTCCGTGACTTGTGGCTGATTTTTCCTTGCTTACTGCCTCAGGTAATGAAGTTGAAAGACTGGAAATTGTAGCCTTGCCCACAGGTATCTGCCAACATATGTTAGCACTTGACATCTGCAGTGGTCTTGAACTAGGTTTGGTCAGTTCATGCCCAGAAAGAAATAACTGTTGATAAAGCATCTATTTGGACTATATTGGATAATGATTACATGATTTTGGACTAGTTTGGTTTTATACACAGCCAGTGTTAACAGGCTGATTAAGACTCTGGAGACTCAGCATTAAAGTGTAATTTTAGATGTGGATGGTAAAGAGACTGTGGCAGTAGAAAGGTCTTAAATCTCAGGAAAGCAGCTTAATGGAGATTTAAAAGCCAGGTCCATGAGGTGGAACAGGAGAAAATATTCAAATGGGCCAGCATAGAAAGGGCAGCAGGTCACAAATCCACTATGAGATCCACCTCCATCTCATAGTGGTGGTGCAAGAATCTCTGCTTCCTCCCCCCAGTACAAACCTGCAGGAGAAATAATGCATTGTTTCCAAAGGCACTGTGTGAACATGTGCATTGATGAAATTATATTGGGTGCAGTGAAGTCTGCAAGAAACCAAAGTAGAATATAGTAATGTATTGAGCCTGAGGAATCTTTTAGAGAAAGAGAATGGAGTCCAGCAATAAAAACCAAAATGGATTAATGAAGTTGGATGGTTAGGAAGAACAAGGAAATAATTTACAGGTAGGATGAAGGAGTGAGGGGAAAACTGGCAGGAAAGTAGGACTCTTGCCAAATACTGAGAGCTGTAAATTGGAGAGTTGAGGCAATTAACTGGAGAAGGTAATTTAGAAGATACATGTTCAGTGACAGAGGGAAATC